TGCGGGAAGAATCTGAAAGTTTAGAATTCCTGTCTGTCTCTTTGAGGGATGCGAGAAGATTTAGAAAGTTTAGATTTTTTTTCTTGAAGAGAAGCTACTGACGCCACCCCAAGTCCCAAACCTTGAAGTTCGCAATTCGTTCACACTTACCGACACCCCTAGCCGCATGACTCCGAAAGCCTAAAGACCCTCGAAGCCGAGCTCCAACCAGGTACCACGAGCTAAGGTAGCTTGGTCTGCGGCTTAGGGCTTTCTTTTATGCAGGACGTAAGTTTATGCAATTAGAGTTTAGGATTGATTTCGAGTTTAAGCGGAGATACCGATTTAGAGTCTCCTTCGTATTTTTTTGGTCCCGCATCTTCCCGAGAAGCCTAGGAGGGCGCAGGGTATAAATATGCCCAGACAAGGCTCATCTCGCTCCGCGAGATCTAAGGATGTCTTCTCGCAGATGCAACCGAAAGTCGCAACTAGGGTTGTCAACTCGAGTCTCGACCGGCAGGGACTACTTCGACCAGTTTGGGCAGCCTCGCTTCTGCAATCTCTCCATGTCCGTGGCTGCTCGGAGGCGTCCGGCTCGGTACGACCAGTCAGACCGTCCCCCAGACCCTCCAACTACCCGTGTTTTAACCGATAGATACCCACGATGAGGGGTCAGGTACCAATGTAAGGGTACAGTGAGGGTTTTGAGTTTAGCATGTAGGGTTTAAAGTCTCTGAGCTGTTGTCGGATTAAAGATTAGAGTGGATCTGGAGTACCAGAGGCTGCTTGGGCTGTTGTGTAGAAGCGAGGTGCATTTGAATGCTTCGCACCCTGGCAATGCAAGCTGTAGTCCGCTCCGATCTCGTTTTTGCTTTCCTCGTGGGCCACTCCACGACAGTCAGTAGGCAGAAGAGGACCTTAAGGACGAAATGAACCCTAGAAGCGTTTAATTTTCATATACCATGTAGGGATTCATAATAAGAACCTACAAAACGATAGGGTTTGGTAGTTTAAGGTAGGTAATCTTGACCTGTCTGCGTATCTGGTTCTCACCTCGCTCCGCGGCGTATCGAGACACATTCCGGATCGGTCATTTCTAGGTGGTAGTGTGACAGCGATTCTGTCGGCGACGCTGGGTCCTTGTCATAGATTTCTGATCATGACACATTGCAACTTTTGGACCTTTTGCTGTACAGTGGTGAAGCTCAGAATCATGCGCCAAGGATCAGTTTCCATGTCGAACGCTTACAAACCATGAGCCTGAGCCAGTGTCCGATTGTGCACCGGGCATAACGAGGTGAAGCAGTACCAAATGCAAGTGGACCTTTCAAGAATTCCTCGAAGTGAACTGCCATATTCGAAAGCTGAAGCCTCAAACCCTTGACGCGAGATGCAGGAGTCAAAGTCAAAGCCCTACAGCCCTAAATAGGCGCTCTAGCCATTGTTTTCAGTCCTGCGAACTTGGAGAGGGGAACGCAAGTAGCATTGCTGTGACTATCTTGTCGTTGCTTTCTCAGTTTCCAGATCTTCACATTCCCACTAGATCTGTCTGACTCAACAGACTCCGAACCATATGCCTCGCCTGGATTGTCCGAGTGAGCGCCGAAGCTTCGTACCCAGGAGCCCTAATTCTAATTCCTCGCCTCCTGCAACCTAAAAAAGACCCGAAGTTCTTAGCCCTCAACCTTAAACCCAGAGCCTAGACCCTGAAAGCCTTTGCAAAGGCTCCCAGAGCCCAACAACCCTGAATGAACAAATTTCCCAAGCCCTGAACCAACCTGAACGAAAAAATCCTAGAACCTCAGGGCCATAAAACTCCCTCTCTAACGGACCCACCCCTCGTTGCTTCAATTGAAACAACCCTATACCCTAAACCTTAAACCCTAAACCCTAAATAAAAACACCTAAAAACACCTAAAAACCACCTAAAACCCCCTAAACCCTAAACTCCTCGAAGGCACCCGGAGGTCTCGCGAGTCTTTGGCTCCGTCTCCTGGGATTCCTCGAGAGCTCCGGAGCAGCCCCTGGGGTTGAAAACTTGTCGTATTTGGGTTTTTAAGGGTTTCTAGGGGTTTAGGGGTTCTTTAGGGTTGAGGGGTTTTTTAGGGGTTTAGGGGGTTTTTAGGGGTTTAGGGGGTTTAGGGGTTAGGGGTTTTTAGGGGTTTTTAGGGGTTTAGGGTTTAGGGGTTTAGGTTTTTGCAAAAGGGTTTAGGGTTTAGGGTTTGGGGTTTGGGTGTGTGAGAGAGGGGGGAAATCGTTCTTGTTAATCTTGTGTGGGTCGAAGCCATGCAGGTGGTTGAGGCTCCTTGGAGTTGTGGCTCAGGGTTTTGAGCCGGTATGCCCCGGGGAGTTCAGTTAATATGTCAGTCATTGAGAGAAAAAGAAGGACGTCTGACATGAATGTAAGAACTTGGAGATTGCTCGATGCCCTCCCAATTCAAGCTCCACCCACGTCACACAGTTACTCCTCTCCCCCCTCTTCAACTACTTTTCGTAGTGGCAGGCATCGTCAGCACCAGTGTTGTCATCAGCTCTAGCCACTACCAACGTCACAATCCTCATTGTGGCCCTCAGTCTTGTGTCATCAACAAGAGGTGATTGAGGTGTCGCTCCTCTCTACTTCTAATGCCCTGAAAACGAGACCGGGACGACGACCACGACCTCGATGCTGCTGCGCCTCGCAGCCTCGTCTCACTTCCCCTCCTCCTGCTACTGCTGCTGCTGCTGCTGCTGCTGCAACCAGGATGACACGTGACCGTAAGTAGTATTGATAATGCCGTGATGGCCATTGCCATTCAGTGCACAGCAAGGCACGTGTTCTCCCTCTCTGCCGTGGCGTATCGATTCTTCGCAGCAAATCAATTGGCTCTAGTCGGAGTCCAATTCTTTTTTCAGCGCTTGAACTTTGGGTGATGGTCAAGCAGTAGAGACTACATCTTGTGCGCCGAACCCCACATGGTATACAGCAATATAAGCTTCACTGGCTGCGGTGTAGATGGTGTGGAATTTGGGGTGTAGACCCCGAAGCTGGCTCTAAGCCCAAATCTTGTTTCAGCCAATGTGAAGACACTTCGGCAGGACATGCACTAGACCCCTGGATCTTGAAAGGATGTGGAATTTAGTAGATGCCGAGGAATCTCCTGCGAACGGAGGGGTGCAGCAGCTTGGGAAAGCGAGGCTAAAAGCCATATGATGCAGCCTATATGTACTCTATGCTCGCAATTGACGGTCTCTCAAAGCTCTACGGCCTCTTCTAGGCGTAAGGTTTGGGCTTCAAACCTCTTTCGGGTTCAGAGTGATGGCTTCAGCATTCCGACAGTCTTCCGTCCCCGGAAAACAATGGTCCAACGAGGGTAAGCTTAGGACAGCCTGTCACGAGTCTTACGACAAGGCAAAGCGAGCTCCATGATCGAGAGGGATCGGCAGCTGCATCTCGCCAGCATGCGTGTGACCGCAGTGCCGAAAACTGATCATTAGGAATGGTGTCCCGACCCTCGCGCGGAAGCGGGAGGTATTCGAACTCGAAGATGCGAGGCTTTGACAGATCGCCGGTTTGAAGGTTAAAGTTTCACTTTTGCAGGTATTGAAGGGTTGAAAGGTTTCGGTGTTCGAAGGTTCAGGCACGCTGGTACGCGCAATTGAGCGGGCGGCGAACCTCGAACCTGTTTTTTCGATCCTTCAGGCTCGAATAGCAGCTTCTAGCACAGTCTCCAAACTTGACTTGGCCGCGGCCAAAATCGATCGGCTCTCCAAGATTCAGAGGTTGCAAGTCCGACAGTTTCGAGTTTGGAGCGAAATTTTGAGTCTAAGAGTTCGACCATGTTCGACCGTTTCACAGCTTGAAAGTTCCAAGGGATGAAGGTTCAAAAGTGTGGAACTTGATAGTTTCGCTCCAAACTCAGCTCTCGGCCCGCCGTGTTAGGTCCAGAGTGTCACTTTTCAAGATTGGAGCGTTGAGAGGTTGCGAGCCCGAGTTGTTGAAAGTGTGAAAGCCCGAAATAATCAAGGTCTGACTGCACGAAAGTGAACTCCAAGCTCCATTGCCATTCAAGCTTGAAACGTTCCAACTCTCAAACTCCAAACTCTAAATGGTCCAAGCTTTAGAATCTTTCCATCTCCCCAATCTCGCCCTCCATGTGATGCGTTGAAATCTCACGACAACCCAAGTATGCTACGAAAGCTGGGTCTTCGGATGCACGTTGTGCCACACGTTGAAAGTAGCGCAGTGCCAATTACCAATACTATTTCGAGGGTTTCTTTCTATGATTCTAGTATAATGAGCCCCAAGACCCTATTCTAATTGTTAGGACCCCTATGGTATACAAGTCTGATCGGACCGGCAGGCTCCAGCTTCTTCTGCTAGTCGTAGGAACAAGGAAAAGGAAGGTACTCATGTTTGACGACAGCCCCATAAACCTTGAAGGGGCCCCCACCCTGTAATAGTGACTATAAGGATTATATTAGGGCCCTATTATACTCCTATTATACCACTATTACAGGGTGGGGGGTCTCCTTCTAACATAAGCCTGTTCTAGCGCTGTCAGGCTCTGGAAGGAAGTCTAATCTAGCTTGAAGCTCGCGCGGACACTAAGGCAGAAGGAAGCGAAGGCGTCTCTTTACAGGCCTTGTTTTGGTGTCGGAGGGTCCGAGGGGGGCTAGTAGAAGTTTCGGAAGTTTTCAGCTTGTTTTTTGAAGCTTTGGAGTGACTTTGCTGCGGTTCGGGGCGGGCTGGAATTTTCGTTGCAGGATTGGGCGACGTCGTGTGACCATCGGATGATGCACTACGGACCACTGAATCTAGAATCTCGAATTACAGCACAGTCTTTGCGTCAAAGGCCGACATCCCTGCTTTTTTTGGGACACGCTGCTTCTGCTTGCCCCTTCAAAGCCCTGAATATCTTGGAACCGCAAGCTGTGCATGCTTGTTGTCAACCTCAGTGAGTTTGCGGGAGGTGCGGAACCCTATGGCTACGGCTCAAGAGCCATTTCCAGCGGATCACGTGGGTGTGCTTTGGAGCAGCATGGCCCACCAGGTTGCGAAAGCGCTGCGCTGGCAGCGTTCCTCGGGACACTCCGTATCCGAACGAGCCGGTGTAAAGCGTCCCGCGCCTGCGGCGGCGGCCGTGGATCCATCTTCCGTGTCTCGATACGCCATTACCTTCGGTGAGACGGCCGTGCTGCACATAGGTGGCGAAGAGGTTGGTTCGAGGCGCAGCTCTGGCTTCACGGTGCCTGAGCTCCGCCTGCTGGCCGAAAAGCTGTCAAAAGAGGGCGTCGAGACGGAGATCGTCGACCTCTCTCAGGCGCTACCCAAGAAGCTGCGCAAGGATAACGAGGCGGCAACGCTCGTGATCCGCAACGGGGCTTCCGTGCTCCTCCGAGATGAGGATGCAGCTGCGTCCTTGCTTCGCGAACAGGAGGATCTCAGCTACGACTCCCAGTACTGGGATGCACGCCGCGGCCGGACTCTCACGAAGAGAGCCCGCCACAACCTGGTCTTCGGTGAGGAGGCGGCAACACCCTCAGAGGATTTCAAGCAGTACAGCGTCAAAGCTTTCCGAGACCTTCCCCACCTTGCCAAGCTCCGCGCTGCTTTGCCCGAAAGGCTTGGTGAGAAGGCCCTTGGACTCTTTGCGGAAGGGAACCATTATTTCGAGACTTCCTCGGGCATTGGCTTTCATGGCGACAGCGAGCGGAAGATCGTGATCTGCCTGAGCCTGGGTGCGAGTTCCATGTTGCGTTACTGCTGGAGGATGCCGGGATCTTCTGAGAACGTGGGGCAGGTGGACATCGCAGTTCACCACGGCGATGTTTATGTGATGTCCGAAAAAGCGACCGGATTTGACTGGCGCTGCCGCTCGAAAGTTCGGGTTGTCCATGCAGCGGGAGCTGAGAAGTACATCGGCTCTTAGATTCGATGGCTTTAAGCATCTTCGTTTTAGTCCTACGTCCTGACCACATGGTGTTACAGCTACAGCTGCATGAGGCCGCTGCAGAACGGACCCGGGAGCGAAGTTGTCTTACACACAAGCCGGGGCTTGTACAGTGTACAGTACCCCCGTCTGCCTACACAAGGGGCCCCAAAACCATTGAAGCTAAGGCAAGATCCTACCTTTGGAGTAGATGTCGAATCCTGTTCGGGGCATCCTCTCTTCTCGGAATTACCTATCCTCTGCAGTTGGGGCTCGACCCCTCACACAAGCTGCCTGGTGCAAGTGTGGAACACGCTTGCGGGCTGAAGTGCGGCGCTGGCCAAGCTGAGGTAATGCAGGTCCATGCTAATCTGCGCAAGGATGACACGCACAACTCTATTGTCGTAGTCCATACAGTCAATACGGTTAGACGTCGGCCCCTGCATTATGACAGCTTCAGCTTCTACGTGATGTGCAGCGGCGTGTAGCTGAAGTCGGCGAGTGCTTTAGAGTGTGGAAAGGCCTTGGTTCAAGGGGCTGGGGCTTGATGAGCTTGTCTAGAGATTCCAGGGTCTCCACCAGCTCACACTACCAGCTGACTCGAAGGCTCCAACCAGGAAGGACGAACGTGTAGGCTGCGGTTTACAGTTACGTACAGCTGCACCAGCTGTGGCAATTGTTTTGAGAAGCATCGCGGTAGGAGCGCTAAACTAAATCCCGAACCCTAGACCCACAACCGGTCTGCACGAAACAGTGAAGCTGTGCGTCACTGGAAGGGCTACATGCAGAATTTACTGCATGCCCGAATCTGAGTCTGCATGGAATGCAAAATGAGAGAGAGAGAGAGAGAGAGAGAGAGAGAGAGAGAGATATATATATATATATATATATATATTCGGCCTCTCCTTGGCCTGCAAGAGAGAAGTGGAGAAGTTCGTCACTGGAAGCTTTGCATGAAGAATTGCCTGCATGCCCGAGTCTACCTGGAATACAATATATATTCTTGCTGGTTGCTGGGTGTGAGATTTGCGATCTGCAAGAGATAAGTACAGTAGTTGCGTCGAACCTACTTCTGCAGACCTTGCCAGGCTTGTCCGAGTGTGAGTGTCAAAAACTTCAGCTATATCCAAGTTTAAGCTGTCTTGAGAATAAGGTGGTTCCGGGGAAGCCAGCATCCAGAAGAAAAGTTTGTTCTCAGACCACGAACCGGAACTCGAGAGCGGCTACTCGTGTTCTTAGCATGCTTCCTGCCGCATTGGGTGGTGCAAGTCCTGAGTGTCAATATGAAAATCCCTTCATGGGGTGTCTACAGAGGGTTACTTGTCGGCGTGTGTTGCAGGTCGTCGTGCTCAGCCCAACCCCCTACCCAAAGGCCCCAAAGTAGTTCCTTTTGGGGGTTCATATATAGAATCCTATAAATCCTATAGGGTTATCCCAAAAAGGAACTACTATGGGGCCTCTGGGTAAACCACCCTCCCAGCGAATGCAAAACTTGGCTAGGAGCCTGGCGTCCGACGAGCGATACCGCATGGCGGATGTCAGGCCGCCGCGAGACTAGTAGGGTTTTGGGTTTTGGGTTCGGTTTAGGGGTTGCCCGGCGCGAGTCAGCTGTCCTGGCGTGACGCTGCAAGCCAGTTGCAAAAGGGGTTGGGCATGTCAATGTAGGGCAGGGTTTATGGGCGTGTTGAGGGTAGAAAAGGGTTTAGCGACAACTCGCTTGGGGTTTGCGGATTTTACGGATCTGGGGTCAAGAGCCTGGGGCTTGATATAGGGCCTACAGGGTTTGGAGGTCTGATGATATAGAGCTTGGTTTTAAAGCGACGTGCCTTGATTTAGGGAGTCGTGGGTACAGCTGCCAGAGGCGTACTCCGAGACCTCCCAAAACATAATTTTTCAGGTTTCGGATGTACTCGGTTGAAAATCCCCCAAACCTTCACCCCGAGCCAGAAACCTCCGATCTCTGACCCCTAAAAAATCAACGAACTCCTGAAATAAAGCCCAAGCCCAAAGCCAAACCAACCAAGCCCACCACGGCGTGCAGGCAGAGGCAGCATGATCTGATCATGCACAAGTTTCCAGACCGGGAGGCGAAGGACTCGGGACCCAGCACTCCGACAGTTTTTGGTTAACGGTTTAAAGTTGGGGGGTGATGCTCGAATTCTCAGCGCGCTGCGGGAATTCTCACAGATCTGATCAGACATGACATCTTCAGCGGTTCCAAGTCTTATTCAGAGATCAGACATCTACTTCTAGGGTCTGACTCCGGGGGGTTTTCTGTCATAGGCATGGACTTGGGTTTAGGGTTTAGGGTCTTCGTTTAGGGTTTAGCTGGCCGGCACCTCAGTCCGTGCTGAAAAGGGTTTAGATTTCGAGGTGCTGGGATCGAGGTTTCAGGCTTCGAGGTGTTGGAGTTTAGGTCAATGACGAGACGAATATTGGGATCAATGATGTTCTTAACTGTGGTTTAGACATCCACACTTCCCCTGCATTTCCTTCAACTTCTGTGATGCCCTGAACTTGTTTCATCCTGAGCCTTCGAGCCAAAACCTACACCCGAACTATGCTCCCTTCAACTTTCCCTTCAGGTTTCTTTGTCCGTGTGGCCGCGCGACGCCCCCGAAATCCTGTACATACACTGCCCAGACACTTCTAAGCCCAAACAAACCTAAAGCCCTGAAGCCAAGAGTCCGAGTTGCGAGAGTCCAAAGCCGAGATGTTGCAGTAGTCAAGAGAGTCAACCTGATTTGTCGGCAGAGGGCACGCAGGGGGGGGAGGCTTTCTTCTTTGTTTCACTGTTTACTTGCGTAAGCCGCGGTTTGAGAACTACATGCACGGAGTCTGCCCATGAAAGACTAGTGCCACACCGACTTCGAACCGAGAGACCTCACCTGGCGGGTCCAAGTTATGAGAGGAAGCCCTAAGCCCTAGATCGAATCAAAGTAAGCCCTACACTCTGGCAGCCATAAGACGCCACAGCAACTTCAGCTCCCTGGAGGATCGAACGCCCCGAGCCTGTCAATTTTTGCCACCGGGCGCAGCACCCGAGGCCTGAATCTGGGAACGTTTAAAATGCAGGGCAGGCCCATTCTATGGGGTCCTTGGCGGGTTTTCATACAAGGGAACCCGTATGATAGGGATCGTTTATGTGGGTCTAAATCCGTGTCCTGAAGGCTTTCGAGAAACAGGGCACCGTTCCTCAGGCTTTTGGTTTGAAGCGTAGCTCAAGGCAGCTCAGCTTGTGTTTGTGTGTGTGTGTCTGTGTGTAATATGCACGCACGCATGCATGTATGTATGTATGTATGTATGTGTTTATAGTCCCAGGTATAGCTATCAGAACAAGACTTGGCCATTCCTGCGCAGTGCATTAGTTGAATGGTCTGCTGCATGCACAGGGTCGACATGAAAACTCTACAAATCATGTGCGGGCATTGCCTACGAATTTCGCCTTCTTGCAGGATGGAAAGCCGGCAATTCGTCATTTTTGAATTGTTGTTTGATATGCTGTCACTACTGCCCGGGCACATGTGCGTCAACCGCTGGTCCAGCAGTGAATGCGTCATCGGTCATCTCGTGTATGAAGTCAGGATGACTCCGCGACCCGATGTGAATATAGCGACAAAGACAGGCCGCAGAACAAGGCAAGCAATGACGGAAAACTTGAACACTTGATACATGCATCTTTAAAACCAGGCCATCCCACGACTTGATTTCCAAACTTGAACCCCTGCAGCCCCAGACCTACATTCCGAAAGCGTGCCGTCAACAACCAGGCCATGCTGCCTGTGGAGCCCCGGTCGCGGCAGGCAGAACGCGAAGAACGCAGGCCCGGATGGTTCCGGAGTAGTATTTTGCGGGTAGCTCTTCACAGTACGGTCCCGCTGTGGCTGCTGTTGCAACTCGCCTTTGCTGCAGTAAGTTTATCCTGAAGTCGTCTTAATACAATGTAGCCTGTGGCACTACAGCAAATATAGGAGTGAAGTTGTTTTCGCACAGCCTTGTGCAGCGGTAGCCTTCATGTCGGTACACCTCGGCAAGACCAAAGGCATCGATCTAGTGTAGTTTGTTTCGGATTTGTTTGGCCAGACCACGCAGTGTTAGTGTGGGAGTGTCCACAAATGCTTGGTTCCCGCTTAAGAGCTAAGTAGGCGATGTTTGTCTGCTTGGGTTTACATAGCTTTACCCGTTTACAAGCTGCTTCTAGGGAGCCCGGCAACAAGATGTGATATACGAGGACCACGCACAAAGCCTGCAGGCTTGTGTGGGGACCGCAGCTGCATTCCAGGATGCCGTAGTGCCGTAGTGCCTAGACTAGACGATCTTTACGAATTGCATAGCCGAGCCTGTGTCGAGACACATCAAACTGGAAGATATGTGGGCTCCAGGGCGATAGGACAAGAGAAACATATGAAGAATTACTGTCGCTCCTGCAAAGGGGTTGAGCGAAGGTAGGTTCACAACGACTTTCCGCAAGACCTTTTCCCGAAACCTCAAGCCTTTGAGAAACGTTGAATGCAACAATGTCTTATAAAGCCTTGGCTACAGTACACGAACCGCCCCTGGTGCCAGGCGCGGCGAGCGCTTGAACATGTCCCTGGTCTTTTTTGGGGAGAGTTTAAACTTTCAGGTTGCGTGTTAGACTGTTGTTTGGTCATAGATAGCATTCACCAAGTCCGTTTCTTAATTGGGGTTGCCAGTTCGGGGTTAGCACCGGATGGACAGAGGCACAGAGGTTTCTGGAAGAGAAGAATGCCTTGCGAGGAGGGGACAGACCCGAAACTCTGGACTTTGACCTTATCACGCAAAACCGACAAACTCGATACGATAAACTCGAGAAGCTTGAATCCTAAACCCTTCAACCGGCATGCTTAGTGCAGGGGGTCCTGGGCTGCATTTGGACAGGGCGAAGTTGTGAGAATCTGGCTTGGGCAAACCTTGCGAAACTCAAATCCCGAAGCCCTCCGCTCACATACGAAAGCTTGTGCTTGTGCTTTGATGTAGCC